ACATTATTTTAAAATTTACGAAAATACATGTAGTTTTTATTGTTGATTGTATTTTTGTTGTCTCCCATTTCCCCCCTCTGTATATATTCTTTGGTGGATCTCTTGCATTCCTCACACCTCCTTCCCCTCAGAGATTTGTTAGTCGGCTCCAATTAGCCAGGTCTCTGGTCCCATCTACTCCCTCCCCAGGCATCACTCTCTCTGCCACAACACTTTCAGTCACCTAAGTCATTGGCTGGGATGCTAGTACTACACTGGGCGGTTGAGAAAACTACATTACCCAGAAGGCACTACACGCATGTGGGCGGCGCTAAAAGACATTTTGGCGTCTGCGCATCCTGTTAGGGCGGGACTTCCGCCTTCCTCCTGGTGGTGGACATTTTAACTTTTTAGGTCTTTGTTCACAGATTCAGGGCGCTGGTCGTGAGGAGGAGGAGGTCGGGGAAGCAGCGAGCCTGCTGTGCGGGGTGTGTCTGAGGCTCCTTGAGCCCAACAGCCCGAGATTGGGGTCCCCATGCCTCGCGGACTCCTCTCTGCTCACAGCGTCCCCGCAGCCTCACCCCATTTTCACCCTCCAGCCTTGGGGACCGGAGCCTCTCAGGTCCCGCCGCCCAGGTCCCAGCGCTCAGAATGGTGAGTCCCTCCTGCGTGACACATGGCTGATGGGGGAAGAGGGTGAAAGGCTGCAGGACCGCCGTGTAAGCACGTGATGGTGCGACTGAGCAGGGAGGATTCGGAAACCGGGCCTGTTGAGGGTGAAAAGGCAACAAAGACGATGAGGTGTAGTTTTGCAGGAGTTTTCCGTTCATTCTCAGAACGCTGGCGCCATAGATGGTTGTGAAAAAAAGAGGGACATTTTCTGATGTTATTATGGGTTAGCTCAGCGAGATAGACCACCGACTCAGAATTAAAATTTTAAGAGCCTTTATTAAGCTGAACAGCTGACTGCTAGCCGTGTCCTTCCCATAAGAGCCCACAGCTTGCAGTGCAGACCAAGAGTACAGCAAGAACTTTTATCTGCAACACTACAAAGTATTTTTTTTAAAAAAAAGAAAAAACAAACTGCAAAGCGGTTCATTAGCCGTCCCTGGTACTGGCAGGGTAAAAAGTTTACATAAAATTTACGAGCAGGGTCACACCTGCCTGGGTTCAATCATAACACATTGCTTTTCTAGCGAGATAATTAGCCATTTTTCTTTCCCATGGTCCCTGCCCCACAGTCTACTTAGTAATTCTTTTTTGTCAGGTCCCTGCCCCTAGCACATTCCCTACTGGTCTTATGGCCGAATCAAATCTTTGATTCAGCATCCTCCTCTAAGATTCTGGAGTATTGGGTGTGTAGGACCATAAGCTTGACAGCTTGGATTCGGTCTTGGATAAAATTGAGGAGACACCTGAGCAGGCAGGGTCCGAAAATGAGACCTACTATTAGGAGAAGGAGGGGCCCTGCCACAGCAGATAGGAGGGTTGTGAGCCACGGGGACCAGGAGAACAAATTCTCATACCAGTTCCCCTCTGCCCTACGGGCCTCTTCTCTGTCCATCAGCCGTTTCCTTAACTGACTTAAACTTTCTCTGATTACCCCGGAGTGGTTAGTGTAGAAGCAGCACGCCTCCCCTAATGCTAGGCACAGTCCCCCTTGTTTCAGGAAAAGTAGGTTGAGTCCCCTCCTTTTCTGTAAGACTACTTCAGCTAAGGACCCTACTGATTCCTCCAACTGTCCTATGGATTTTTCTAGGGTACTCAGGTCTTGGTCAATTTGATTACCCAGTTCTTTGTAATTTTGATGTTCTGTCACTAGGGCGGCTGTCCCTACCGCTGTGGGTCCTGCAATTCCGAGTCCTACGAGTAGGGGAACCAGAACCGGGGCTCCCTTAATCCGCCGAGGCTCTATGAGGAGGTGCTCCCTTCCTCCTTCCCCGGAGTAATAATACACTTGCGGCAGGATATGAGTTAGGACGCAGAGCCCTGGCTCGGGCCCAGTCTGGAGATTTAGGGAGAATATGCAAGGGGTGATTCCGGTGATGCATGCCCACCAGGTACCATTTGGGGCCACCAGGTACCATTTGGGGCCACCAGGTACCAGGGGGCCCCAGACCCTGGTCTCTCCGCAAGTTGGAGTGTCTGGTTACAATTTTCTGCATAGGGGGAATCCGGGAGGGAGTAATTGGCAGATGCGACACACAGCCCAGCTCCAGTAATATCTCCTAAAGTTAATCCCCTCCTCCCTTTTCCCCATGCACATAGTCCTGGGGTTTCTGCATCTGTGGACACATTGTGGACGTGGGCCGCACTTGCCCCAAATGGAGCTGAAGCTCCGATCCCTACGTAATAGGGGGGCTTGGTGTTCACTTGGGCACACGCCTGGCGTCTCCGAGCCACATCCTTGGCCATCCTCTGTAGTCCCGGAACATAGTAACCCTTGCGAAGAAGCTCAGCCAGCTTGGTGCCTCCGAGATGGGTGCCCCTATGGGTCTGCTCTACGATGATTCTGTCCAGGCTTTTCTGGGAGGAACAGATGGTGGTCCAGGAGTTTCAGCAATCCTCCCCTGGTTACCTGGTCCCCTAGTCCTTTTGCTTGCTCTTCTTCCTTCTTGGTGTAGGTTGGGGTGTCTGGCAACTGGTGGTCTGGGAGGGCCACTAAGACCTGTAGGGGCCCTATTGGTCTTTTGGCGGCTTCCTTTGCTGCTTGATCAGAGCATGTTGATTGGCCAGGTCCGTTGTCTTCTTGAGGATGATCCCCAGTGGGTGTG